AATATTCAGTCATAAACCAAAGAATAAAAAGCAAACAAAAATATAAGCTTTAGGTAACTTTAGGTACTGTGAACTAAATATTCTGAAAATCTGATTGTATCTGTGTCAGTTTGTGTACTGTGTGTAAGAATATATGTATTTCTTTTGTAGCCACGTCATGAATATTTTAATGTCCCTGTGTACTAAATGACTACTCATCGAGTATGCAGAATTTCACAGAGGAAATAGAGTGCTGGTATACATATGAAAGAAAATATCCTCAGCTTGGTGACTAATAGAATATTTTAGAGCCAGTACCTTTATGATTGTATTTTTTTTCTGTTCTCGTTCCTAATTCTTTTCTGTTTTATTTTCATTCTGTGTGTGATACTGATATAGCTCCTTCCTCCCCAAAACTGATGTTATCTCATTTAGACAAAATATGACCTATGAGCATTTTGAGTAATGTTTCATTTTAAACACATGCATGTTATTATTAATGAGCTATCTTATTAATCTTATAAGAGGAAGACCTGGCAATTAAAATGTTTACCAAAGAAAATATAGTTGAAGTGCTAGATCTAAATAAGCAGTGCCATAATACATAGTGTGGTTTGGTCTTCAAATATTAGGAGGTGGGGAGATGATTTTGTGTGATTATCATACAATCTACATGAGCTAATGTGTTCTAATGTATCATATAAGGGTATATGTGGAAATAAGAAAGTAAAATGGATCTGTACTATTATATAATATTTAAAGTAAAAACATTCAGTTGTGAAGAAGCTTTGTAGTACCACATTTATTAAATCACATTTGTGGTATACAGTGATATTGAACAATCCCTTTAAGAATTTACAGAAAGCTATGTCTGAAAAGTCTCTTCTGCAATACCTGTTGCTTAATAGTAACTTTTCCAAAGTATTAATACTGAGTTTAATTATATAGTTAAAAAATTCTAATGTTCAATTTCATTTCCTAAATACTTATGTTTTACTAGTTATGCCTTTCTAATATATTAAATCTTCATTTAAATACTTAATGCTTTGTTAACTGTGGCACTATATTTCTGAATATTAAAACTTTTAATATTGATCACTATTGTATATTTTAATAACATATGAAAGGAAAAGTACCAAATAATTTATTGTTTATATCTAGAGAGCGTAAAGCCTAAGTTAAGTAACTTATTAAATAACAGCTTCAGAACGTGATCAAACTGGTTTGCCACTGAAAGAAGACCTATGAAAATATGTTTTGACCAAATTTAGCAGTGGGCAGGTATACAGATAAGTTATTTCCATTCTTACCATTCTTGCTGTAATGCACTACATTTGAAGCACCTGGGTATGCTATCAAATGAGGAATTTACCATTATACATTTGAAGCATTGGGAAACATTGTTCTTTCATTTTCATTTGTTTCCTCCATCCTCTGCCCCACAATATGTTATTCATCCGGTTTTAATGCTACATAAATATGCATTGTCTCATGCCTGTTTGCTTTGGATGCTATGTGCTGAGCTATAACAAAATGTTGCTTCTTTTGTTATCTGTATGCTTGCCTTAAATTATTAGTAGATTCTGAAACAGCTTTCCTTGCATGTCTAAAATAAAAGTATTGCATGTACTTCCTTTGTCTCATGTGAATGACTTTTTTCTTCTCCATCTCTCATAAAATAACATTTTATACTTTCATTTTTCCAGGTCATTTTTTTAGTTGTTATAAAAAACACATAACACAGAATTCACCATCTTAACAAATTTTAAGTGTACAGTTCAGATAGTGTTAAGTATATATGTAATGTTGTGTGACAGATCTCCAGAACTTTTTCATCTTGTAAAACTGAAACTCTATCCTCATTAACCAGCAACTCACCATTTCCTCCTTTCCCCCAGCCACTGGTAGCCACCATTCTACTTTCTGTTTCCATGAATTTGACTACTTTAGATAATAGTTTTTCTGGGCAATTTTGAGCTGTGATTTCAGTGTAAACACGTGAAAGTTACATTTGATATTATAAACAAAAAAAACTAAAAAACTAAAAAGTAAAAAAACTAAAAAAGTAAAAAAAAAACTATTTGTGCAAGTCTCAAAGGAATAAAATGTGTGAACCATTCTTTGAAACTAGGCCCTTTAGAAAGGACACTACTTTAAATAATGCATATTAAATAAGCAACGTTGATTCTCTTCAGAAAATGATATACATTTAAGATTGCAGGCAGTGAGCACATAGGGGACATCTGACCAGCTCTGGGGAGTAGTGGGACATTTTACATGGATAAACTGAAAGTGTCCAGGGGTCCTCAAACTTTTTAAACAGGGAGCCAGTTCACTGTCCCTCAGACCGTTGGAGGGTCAGACTGTGGGCCCTGGGACGAGTCGGCTGCTAAGCAGGACAGGCAGCGGTGGCAAAAACACCCAGTGGGCCAGATAAATGTCCTATGCAGGCTGCATGTGGCCCGTGGGCCATAGTTTGAGGACATGTGGAAACTGTAAAGATACAGGCATCCTTTAATAAATACATTGAAGGTTATGTGAAGTTTTAAAAAACTATTTGACATTAAATGGAAATAATTATTTTAAAATTGTTTTATTTAATACTGATGTGATTCAGAAGCCATTCTCTCAGTGTATTCAATGCTTAAGGCTAAACATTACAAATGACAGGGATTGGTTTATATCACTCTTGGGAGTGTTGCATCATTTCCATTAGACTTTCTTAACTCTCATGTACATATCACTCAGCTTCAACAACCATCAACTTATCGACTTGTTTTTCCAACCACCTCACCTCTAGTTTTGCCTCATTATTTCCAAGAAAGCCCTAGATAGCCTGTCATTTTTTTTATTGAGTCATAAACACATAGATCGTGTATACATTAATGCATTTATGGGTACAATGTGCTGATTTTAAATACAATTTGGAATGCTTACATCAAACTAGTTAATATAGCCTTCACCTCATTTACTTAATATTGTGTTAAGACATTTATACTCTATACGTAATAGAATTGATATGTTTTTAATACTTCAGTATTGCCAGATGTGGTGGCTCACGCCTATAATCCCAGCACTCTGGGAGGCCGAGGAGGGTGGATTGCCCTGAGCTTACAGGTTCAAGACCAGCCTGAGCCAGAGCAAGACCTCATCTCTAAAAATAGCTGGGCATTGTGGCAGACTCCTGTAGTCCCAGCTACATGGGAGGCTGAGGCAAGAGAATTGTTTGAACCCACAAGTTTGAGGTTGCTGTGAGCCATGACGCCATAGCACTCTACTGAGAGCAACAAAGTGAGACTCTGTCTCCAAAAAGAAAAAAAAAAAAAAACTTAAGTGTGTATCCCTACTAGATAAGTACTATGCCCAACACAATTAACAATGATCAATTCCTTATTTATGTCTTGTGCCTTGCTCACTTTCCCCTAATTATTTCAAAAAAATGCCTTTTTATATTTGGTGTGTTAGAATCAGTTTCCTAACAAGGCTCACCTTGTATCTGTTTGATGTGTCTCTTAAGTCTTTCTTAATCTTTAACAAGTCATCTGCTTTTTTTTTCTCCTTGCCAATTTTTTTTAAACCAGGTTTTATGTTGTAGAATATCCTACATTATGTATTAGACTAGTTGTATTTTTATGGCGATGTTTAGCTTACTCTTTTATCCTCTATCTATATATAGCTTAATGAAAACTAATTAACCTAACCTAACTGTAACCTAATTAGACTGAGGTCCAATTTGAGGGAGCAAGAGTACTTCATAGGCTAGACTGTCTTTTAAAAAAACATCTTTTTGCACTGAAGCTGATTTTTGCCTATTTTCATTACTACACAGACATACTAAAAGGTCATCATGTGTACTGTAGAGTTGGCTTATAATACTTTAATTTAGTACTAAATGCTAAATACTTTCATTTAGATTTCACTTGTGTAACTGTATCACCTAACATTTTTTGAGCACTCTATAAATCGGGCAGAGTCTTAACTCACTAAATCTGAACATACTAAGGTAAGTACTCTCATCCTTGTTTGTCAAATCAGGAAACATCACAGAGTTAAGTAATTTATTTAAGATTATACTATGAAGTGCTTTACATACAATTAAGTCTGATGTTCTAAGGATTTATGGTTTAATATGATTTTTCTTCTTGTTTTGTGCTGTACCACAATTAGGATGCAAAAGTAAGTTAATTACTGGATACCAAAAATGTACATTGTTTCCCCACATTAAAATAGAGTGTTTCCATTTAATTCCAAAATTGTTGCTCGTAATAGCTGAGAGTTGACCTTTTTTATTTTGTGATGTGCAATATCAGCCAGTTTGGAAAATTTTAAAAGAATTTTTTCTAGGTATGCCTGCTTTCTTTGTTTTGCCCTCCTTTGACACTTCAAAAACAAGTATTGGTTGCTAGATAGGACAAAAATGCCTTTGTCACAGAGAATGCTCTCTCTATGTGGCCTCTACTGGTGCCTCTGGTTGCCTTGGGGAGGTCTGGGAATGTGGTTGTTTCTGAAGGCTTACCAGGGGTAGGCAGTTAAGTAAAAATTCCAAGAAGACGTTTCTATAAATGCATGTGACCAGAAAAAAAGAGCATGGAAAACATTAGGTGAAGAACTGTGGGAACTTGGGTACTGAGGGGGAGGGTCCTACTTTTTATCTAGAAGAGGTTCTGAATTTTACCCCTAAGATAACTTATCTTTCCTGTATATAATTAAGTAGCAGTGATTTCATAAACTGCCAGTGGTATTGCATTGGGCTTGACTGCTTTTTGTGTTACAGCAAAGGCATCCAGGACATTGGTAGGTAATCAGTATGTGTTTAATAAATGCTGAAAACATTCTTCTGTGGTCTCCAATGTTTTGGGCACAAAACCCTAAATAACCACTAGCTGTCACTAGGAGAATGAACCTATGCACTAAATTGCTTTCTTTACTCTCTAAAACGAGCATGTCCTTCCGTGTCAATTTTTCACATTCTCAAGACTCCCTGGATCTGCTTACCAGAGTCTCACATTTTCCCTCCACAGGAAGCTGAAACCCCACGTAGTGTTCTTGAAGAAATTGGACTGACATAACTCTCCTTCTTGTTGATGACTTCTTGTGGCATTTCACACACTGTAGATGGTCACTGCCTTCATGTCCATGTTAGCTAATGGTGTAAGATGATGTCTTGTCAGTATTACTGTTTTGCTAAGCCGCTTCATTCAGGCCTACACAATTTTTTTTTTAAAGGGAACTTTGGTTAATCAAGTGATGAATTAAGGGACTTAAAAACTAATTAGAATGGTGCAGAAAGCTACCTTCTTTGGATGTTCTAAAGTTTATAGGTCAGTTTCTCTTAATCATAAAATTATGTGCGTATATGAAAATGATACATCTATATATATGTAAAATCAAGCAATCGGGCAATACGCATTTATTAATTACTGCAATTGACAAGGAAACTGTTATAAGGTGAAACCTGGTTTCATGAAACCAAAGACTAGTGCAGACTTTCAGTATGTGTAAGACTAAAGGGAATTGACATGTCACATATCAAATGAATGGAAAGTTAACTCTATTGAAACTTTAAAAAGAAACCCAAATTTATACCAAAGACTCCTATTGGAAACTACATAACTTAAAGGGAATGCAGATTATTTTAACTAACTAAATTGGAATGATGTATTTTACACTAAAAATGTTTTCTTAGGGATTCTGAACCTGGGATGAGGTACAGAGATTGTTTCATAATGAGCACATAATTTTTAGGACCAAGGGACATTTGACTCCTGAAATGAATTTTTTGTGGTCATGATCATTTACTTAGATTGTTTTTGATGCCCCCCCAAATGAAGTGGGAATATTAATTTACCAGGAATTCTTCATAACAGCATCTTACAGAAAATGTCATGTTCTCTTCACAGTATTGCCTGTAAAGTTGTTTAAAGCACGAATGCTCCTAGGGTGCTTATTAAAGCCAAATTTATTTTGCTTCCCTATTGCTTCCCTCTACTTAGAATTGCTGCAAAGTACAGCAGCTTCCTCTATTTCCATGGCACTGCCTAGTTAACAGAAGTCTTATCAAAATATAAAACACCTTTCATATAAAAAAGTGAGAGTTGAATGAGGTAAAATGGCATTAGTTGGCCCTATATTTTTTAAAGCTATACAAGTGTTCAGCATCACCTTTTCTAAGTCCTTACAAGGTACATATCTAAACGTGTCTTCATCGTTTATACTTTCACTTGTACATGCTGGGCTGGATTAAGCTTTTTGTGATTGTGACCAATATTCAGGCCACATAAGCACTGTCTTATCACATCACCGATTAGTTGTAATAAACGTTCACCATACAAACACTGGAGTGTGTTTTTATCTCTCTTTCAAAGTTTGTCAAACTATGGAAAGCTGCTGAAGGAAAGATTTTTAATTTTTTTTCAGTAAAATGTTAAAAGTTCCCCTGCATTTGAATGTGGTGGTTGTTATAAGCACACACAAGATAAATGGTGGAAGAATCTAAGAAGTTTTCATGTACTTCAAGTTCATTTAAAGATAACCTGGATTCCATGCTATTGAGAGCTTATCTACACATTTATTTTCACTCAATAAATGCCGCTTTTAAAACCTTGATGCAATTGACTTTTCTACTCTTTCTGAATGAACTACTCAGATTACTCTTAAGTAATCACAAGTTATTGCAAATTAGCTGGACTCCTCTCCCCCTGACCCCCCATGAACTAAAGGTGCTAGTACATGCAACAGAAACGGACTAGTATTTACAGACTACTGCCCCAGTGTAGAACAAATAAACACTTTGGTTACCATGTTAAGGGACCTCCTATGGGAAATATTACATTCTAAAACTGGGATAGTTAAGAATGTGGAAAGGACTACCATCAAGTTGCTGGTCTACTAAAAAAAAAGAAGACATAATTTATAGGTTTAAAGAGCCTTGGATGTGTAGCTATTCACTGAAAACAGGCCAGTGGGCTTCTAACAGCAATGTAGAATTGGGATTTTTGAATCATAAATCACAATCAGGTAATATGTATAAAAACACATGGATAAATTTAAGTTCAGAATGGTTATTTATCATGATAATGAACCAGTCAGTGGTTCAAAATTTCCTGCCCTCTCTACCACTGCCTATCAACATTTGAGAGAAAACTCAGGGATTTCTCAATTGTATTGAGCTCAGTTGGTGTCTTCTTTGTTATCCTAAATTCATTAAAACTATTCAGGGCTCGGCACCTATAGCTCAACCGGCTAAGGCGCCAGCCACGTACACCTAAGGTGGCGGGTTCGAATCCCCAGCCCGGACCCGCCAAACAACAATGACAGCTGCAACCAAAAAAAAAATAGCCGGGCGTTGTGGCGGGCGCCTGTGGTCCCAGCTACTTGGGAGGCGGAGGCAGGAGACTCGCTTGAGCCCAGGAGTTGGAGGTTGCTGTGAGCTGTAATGCCACGGCACTCTACCCAGGGGGACAGCTTGAGGCTCTGTCTCAAAAAAAAAAAAAAAAACAAGCAAAATGGGCTTTGCATATCACATTTAATTGCATATGTTTGACTGTATTTAGAAAAGTATTGAAAAATAATTTACTCAATAATAAAATACTCAATTCTGCATTAGTGAATCCAGTAGATCCAGAAATTTTCAATCAATCATTTTTAGGGTAAAGCAGGAATTTAGACTCTAGAACAAATCAGATTTTTTTTAAGGTGAAATTATTATGAATCACGTACTTCATTTCTTCTATTGACTACAGCTTGAAGAATTCTCATCTTTAACGGATATCCACAGAAATCCCAATCTTAAAGAAATTTTTTTCTGTTTCATTTTTGTTAAGTATTTTGTGCATCATTAAATCCTTACAGTCCCAAATTTCAAATGGACAAATGTCACGTATTCTGCAATTCAAGATCCCACGTATGTCAATGGAAAAAAAGTATATATAATGTGTAAGAAAGCTGAAGGGCATCTTATTTATGACCTGAAATCTACATTCAGTTTTATTCTCTGACCACTCTAGCTATGGCTGGGTGTGGTGGCTCATGCCTGTAATCCTAGCACTCTGGGAGGCCGAGACTGGTGGATTGCCTGAGCTCAGGGGTTGGAGACCAGCCTGAGTGAGACCCCGTCTCTACCAAAAATAGAAGGAAAAAATTAAAAGCTGTTTGGCTATTGCATGTAGAAAAATCCAATATATTATTAAGCATGTACAAGCTGGGTGCAGTGGTGCACACTTATAGTCTCAAATACTTGGGAGAGTGAGCCAGAAAGATCGCTTGGGCCCAGTGGTTCAAGGCTATAGTGCACATGATTGCATCTGTGAATAGCCATGTGCTTTAGCCTAGGTAACATAGTGAGATCCTGTCTCTTTAAAAAAAAAAAAAAAAGGCAAACAAGAATCAATGCCCATTAAATACACTAACACAAAATTAACCAAACTGGCAAAGATTAAAATAACAGTATTGTGGGAGAAGCAAAGTATATTAGTGACACAGTAAATTTTCTAGTCTTTCAGAGGGCAATTTGCAAATAGTATTCATCTCCCTTGATATAATTTATCCTTAGGAAATAGTAAGAAATATGTGGAAATATTTAAGGAAATCCATGACATGATTGTTTTTCAGTGCAGAATTCTTTTTTTTTTTTTTTTGTAGAGATAGAGTCTCAGTTTATTGCCCTCAGTAGAGTGCCGTGGCGTCATATAGTTCACAGCAACCTCTAGCTCCTGGGCTTAGGTGATTCTCTTGCCTCAGCCTCCCGAGTAGCTGGGACCACAGTTGCCCACCACAATGCCTGGCAATTTTTTTGTCGCAGTTTGGCTGGGGCCGAGTTTGAACCCCCTACCTTCAGTATATGGGGCCAGCACCCTACCCACTAAGCCACAGGCGGTGCCCCAGTGCAGGATTCTTTAATAGTGCAAAGTTAAAACTCACCAATAAGGAGATGGTTGAATAAATTGGGAGATCCACACTATGCAGTGAGTAAAAATAGGGCTCGATGAAATACGACACTGTTTCTTGTGAAAAATAGCATACTCAACTGAAGTCATATAGGACCTTTGTGTAAAAAATGTGTACACACCCACAAGGCAAAAAAAAAAAAAAAAAAAAAAGAAAAAGCAATGCTCCATTGTGAAGAGGCTGTCTCTCAGGGCTACAATTACAAGTACTTTTAAGGTTGTTATTTATACATTTTGTTTCCTAGGTTTTCTATTCCAAGCATACTTCGTGATTATCAGAGACTAGAAATATTTTTGAACAGGTTTTCAGGCTATATGGGGTTCAGCCAGACTTGAGAACTCCTTTGAACTCATAGCCTACTATCCAACCATGTAGCAGCCATAATAAATGAGATATACAATCATTTAAGAACAAAACAGGTTTATTTGGATTTGGGACTCTGGGTAGTTCCGTCTCTACTACTTGACCTCCTCGGGCCATGGCTCCTGGATCTCGATGAGCTCTGGCTCCTGCTCCGGCTCCTGTGGCTCCTGCAGCTCTGGCTCTGGCTCCGGCTTCGGCTCCGGCTCCGGCTCCGGCTCCGGCTCCGGCTCCTCCTGCTGCCCCTGGCCCGGCTGCGGTCCCTTTTTCTTCCTCTATTTCGGGAACTGTGCCTTTCACGACTCTTTGATGTGTGTTTGTGAGATTTCTTCCCCCTGTGACTCCTTCTCCTTTTCCTCTCAGATTCCCCATTTCTCTTATAGGAACGGTCTGGACTGGGACTTCTCCTCCTCCTTAGCCTGCCATAGTATTCGTCATGGTGGCCCGTCCTCTCTCTCCTCTCCAAGTTCTTACCAAATGAGGAGCCAGTCCTATCTGGAGACAGGTAGATGTCTCTGTTAGCTTCCCAAAACTCATTATTGGGATTTCTGAACACGTGAAGAAAGTTGCAGTGTTTTCCTCTTGGACACTGTTGTATTTCAAATAAACCTGCAATGGCACAGTGATGAGACAGCATTTATTACTGTGTATTCAGAAGATGGTACTTTATCCTTTTCGGAAGGTACATTTCTGATGTTTAGATACGCTATAACTATTTCCTGCTGTGTGTTATTTATAAAGGGCTTAGATAAATTGATGCTATAGTTTTATTCCCAGAATTTCAGAAGTGCTCGAACAAATTGCACTCTGAAAGGCAACAGTTCAGAAGTTTTAATTACCCAGAATATCCTGTGCCCCTACTGCAGTATGGTGCAGAGTGCAACTGAACACAGTGACCACATTATCTTTCCTAGAGTTTTAC